TTGCTTTCCTCGAGGCCAAGCAGGCTTACGCAGGGCGACTTTGACTTTTGGAGCGACATCCCAAGAAAAAGACGCAGAGCCACACGGATCGGTCAGCGCTGTCCTAGATGGGAAAATCATAGGCCAGGATGGCCTAATGGGTTTCTCCAGTCAAATATTTTTCTCTCGGAGATGGAGGGAGGGAGGGAGGGAGAAGAGGGGTAGGAACACAGCACTGGAATGCCAATAAGGTGCAGAAAAATGACTGGTTTGAATATCCCGCTAGTACCAAGTCCCCATACGAACCCACCTCCCCACCCAAACATTAGACGCCATCGCTTGCCCTGCCGAGCCGTTGCTCAGCACCTAGCTCTGAAACCCAGCGCTTGGGAAGGGAAGGGGAATAAAGCTGGGTTGCTTTTTGTGGGGACCTTCCCCCATTTTCCAGCTGCCCTCCTTTTTTTTTTTTAACCCATATAAGCATGAGGGCCATTAGGAGTCCGCTTTTGTAGGGCTGGTGCTGCGCGGGGAGGGGGGGGAGACAGCTTATCCCAGGGAAAGCGGGGGGGGGGGGGAGAGGGGACGAGACTGTTTTGCTTGCACTCGTCTCCTAAGTAACATTTATTTTATCCCCCCTCCCCCCGCATTTAAAACTGTCACACAATAGTGTCAGCTCCAGTCAACAGAGCTGAAGTGAACTCTGGAAATTGCTGGCGATTTCCCAGAAAGCTACAAGTTCGGCCCGTCCTTCGACTGGAGAACAGAACAGACCCACCTGGCCAGAGCAAGGACCAAAACGCACGGGCTGCTTCCGTGCGGACACGCCAGCATCCCCCGAAGGAAAGGGCCCCTTGAGGGCGGCTGGGAGCTGAGCTGGACCGCGGACACACGCGCGCACCAAGGCGCCCCTCGGGCAGGTCCTGCGGAAGGACTGAGAAAGGGACGGGCTTGCCCTGGGCCTCGCACCGTGGCGCAGAGGAGGGCACGCAGCGGCCCATCCCATGCCAGGGCCTCTCGGGTCGAACCGAGGGTGCAGCTTTCAGCCGCGCGGAAACGCCAACTCGGTCCTGAGACGGAGCCAAACGAGCCGAGCCAAGAAGCCAGCGCTGCCCTCCTCCAGACGGGTCGCCGACACCCGGGCGAAGGGACCAGGGGCGGCGGGCAGAACCGCTCCCCGCGCCAGGCCAGCACGTCCTGTGCCCCGGAGCAGAGCCCTCGCCGCAGCGCTGGGGCCGCGCTCAGTCCTCCTGGACGCGTGGCCTGCCAGGGCTGGACGCTCAGGACGCCTCTAGGCCTCCGCTCGGTAGCTGCAGTCAGACTTTACTTTGCAATTGGCCGACTGCGACTCCAGGTCTGGAATAAGCCACTCAAGCATTATAACCTTTCACCCCTACCCTCCACGTCTTGTCCCCCCCCCCACGAGTTTAAGGGGAGGCCGTATACCTTTCCGTTTAATTCCGCAGCTGGCACACACCACCCCTCAACGATCCAGTCCGTCAAATTCCCGTTGACACTGGGAGTTACTCTGCAGCCCTGACACTTTCCATATTTCAGAAAGAGCAGATCTGGCAGATGATGATGTATGTTCCGCGAGCAAATGGACTCTTTCTAGGGTTCCCCGGTATCTGTTCCAAACAGCAACTTGGAATCTAAACAATACACCGGTTGCGTCTAATTTGATGCACGCTTAGCGGTAAACCAGTGTGACTCGCTTCCAAGGAAGCCTAGATAGGATTGTGCTGCACGCCCCGTGGATTTCAGACGAAACCGTTTCCAAGCGTGATTACAAGATATGCGCTGAAATCCTAAACGTAAGCACTTTAATTCAATGGGATTTATCTGCAAGGGAATGTATTTAAGATCTGGGTGTCCAGAGCATAAACCCGAGCGCTCTGAGTTCACGGGCCTGTTGCACGTCTCTCAGTCTGTTCCCCCTCCCCACTTAACCCCTCCCCCCCCCAAATTCTACATACGCTGGATTTTACACAGCTGAGGAATCCAACTTAATCCGAGCTGCATCTTCGCAGCCAGCTGTTTGCAACTCACTTCTGAAGTGATGGCACTGTCTCGCTTTCACGCTCTAAAAGGGGGTGCTATGCGGTCCACTTTGTGCCCCCCCCCCTTTCTCACACACTTCTGTTTACAATTTAAACTATTGCGGAGCAAGCGAACGCCTGGAGGCTGAAAGAGTGCCTTTGAACAGCGCCAAGGGTGCCGCGGTGAATGGGTCGGCCGCCCTCCGAGGGCGCGCTTCGCACCGAAACTGCCCCGTCTGGACAGAATCCTCGCGGGGAGGCAAGAGAGGACGGTGCGTTGCCGAGGCGGCGCGCAGACAGCGCCGGGACGGGCGACAAAGCCCCTTCCATTTGTAGCCATGTGCTCAGCAATCTGGAAAATAGCTTCATTTCGCCTCCGTCTTTCCTCCCCGCAGCCCCCGTTTTCCATGACCTGCCTTGTAGTCTCCTTTGTGGGGACTGGACATGAAAGGGGACAACCAAGTGTCTGACAGGGGATCGCTTTTCAAAAGCAAATGCGGGCCAGAGGGAGACGCGAGACCGCTCGCTGGGCCGGCAGGGAGGGCAAGACCCTTTTCAGGGAACAACATCAACAAACTCCGCTGCAGGCTTGTAGGGAGGCGGAAGGGGCTTGGATTGAGAGACAGATGGAAAATGCTACAAGGATCCCTCCCCCCGTCCGTCCTTCACAGACCGATCTCTATGGGAGAGTCTGTTAGAGCCATGTCAAAGCTGGCAAATGAATATTTTAGGACGGGGCTGTAGGTCGGTTCATTACTTATTTCGCCTTTCAGGGTCATTCAGTCACTGGCTGGATGGGGAGCCCTAAGAAGCCAGCCGCTGCCTAAGCGAATAAGCGACTATTTTGTTCAAGCAAAGCAGGGTATTTTCAGAAGTGCTCACAAACATAAAGACATTTCAGGGCAAGAATTGGACGAAGAGGGGTGTCTGGTTACTTCGTAGCCCCCGCTTTTTTCTGCTCACAAATTTAGGGGGAGATCTTGAGCTCCAGAGGGTCGATGCAACCCTTCAGGCTCAAAAGGAAAAGCCTTAGGATTGTCTCTCTCTCCCCCGCTTCCCCCCTTCACTCTCCTCCTTCCATGTGTCAACATTTCCAACCAAAACAAAAAGGAGGAGTAGAAGTATAATTTTCCTCCTTTAGGAACTGCTTGGCAACTTCAAGTATTTTCCAAAAACAAGAGCTTAATTGGTTGCCAAATGTAACACCAGAGTTCTAAAGTACGATGCATGACCATACAAAAAATAGTTTGGGTTCAGTGGTTTGACACTTCAAAGTACTGATTTTAAAGAGAAGGAAAGCACATAATGTAGGTTTTTCAAAGAGTGACATTGACAAATGTAAGAGTTCATTAGTAGGTAAGGAGGGAGAAGTTGCATCTAGTGTGCTTGCTAATCATCTGAACTTCTCTTTCAGGAGGAGGTTCAGTTCTTAACACTGCTCAACAAAAGCTGCTTGGGCTCCGCTTAATGGAAAGAGTTTATTACAAGTTCATAGGCCTTAACGCATTTGTAAAATATAGCCAAGTCTGTCCTGCGCAGTGCGGAAAAAGGCAACGGCTCAGTTCTGGCCAGGTCGTGGACCGCATCCTGGAACACCGACTCTGCTCCCTAAAATATCCGCAATACATTCAACTCTTCAAAGTAATTTTAAGGGTGGTTTGACCCCACTATTGAAAAGCTTAAGCAGTTTCATTTCCATGACTTTTCTTAATTACTCAAATACCCCCTCCAGTGTTTACGTTTTGTTTGTTTTTAGACCTTTGAAGTAGGCTTACCCTTGGTTACTTTCTTTTGTTATATTTAGAAAGCAAATAGCAAAACCGACTGGGCTTCTTTTAAAAGAGTTCACAAACATTTATTAATTTACACCAAAAGTGGACAAAAAAGTTACTTTGCCTTTTCCACATCAAATTATTCACAATTCTTTCAATAAAATAAGAAGGATGCACAGCTAGTGGGGAGAGCTAATTAGGCTCTGGCGCACAATATATACACACAGATAAGTCCAGATACACAAGAAACACCCACACACACACACAAAAGATGAAGGGGCAGAGAGTAGGCGGGCAATTGGATAACAGAGAACTTCCTGATACCGCACGATCTTTTGAGATGTGCACTTGAAATCTCACTTGAAACACACTCCTTGTCATGACTTCCAATATTACGATATTCAAGCGAAATTTTCCTTAAACAGCTCCTTTGAGAGAAGGGGGAGATACAGAGGGGGACCATCCAGAGAAGAAAATTAGAAGAGAAGCGCCCTAGTGCAATAGTTCTGATCCGCTACCGCCCACCGAAACCAATGGGCTTAAGGCAGAAATCCTTCGCACACCTACCTGGGAGTAAGTCTCACTGAATTCAGTGCGCCTTGCTTCCAGCAAACATGCATGGGATCTGTAGTCAGTCCTGCACTTGCTTTCCTAGAGTTGGGTCGTGGAGTGGACCATTCCGAAACCACATTATGTGCGTACAAAGGGCGCAAGCCACTTAACTCGGGCGTACCTTCGTAGATTATAGACTATTCCGAACAAAGAACGAACTGGGGTTCGCAGCCATTCTGCCAAAGAAAGCATTTGAAGAAGCAGAGAGAGCAATTCCGCTGCCACTCCCGGATCCTAATCACCTTCACTGGAAGCGAGTCCTAGGAAATCCAGCTACAACTGCTTCCCTGACAGTGGCTTTTAGAGCGCAGTCTTACTTTACCTATTTCTTGTAACTTTTTCTTCAAGCTGTCAGAAGTCGTCTAATAAGAAATACGAATTTAAAATAGAAGTTCGAGAGATGGCTCACTCCCCCCCTCCCCTCCTCAACACCAATCCTGAACAGGCAGGGACACACACACACACACACACACAAAATCGATCCGGACGCCAAACAGTCCCAAAAAAGGAAGTGTTCCTACCTTTTAAAACACAATAGGAGGGCAATTGTGAGAGCGGAGGGGAGGGGGGAGAGACAGACCGGGGACTGTTGGTTGGGATCTGAGGGGCACTGTGGCTGGCTGCGTTTTAAAAAGGGCAGCTGCTGAGATTTGTGAGTTTACTGGAAAAGTTCTGTCCCGTCTGCAGGAGGGATTCGTGGGCCAGGTTCAAATGGTTCGGTAGGGGCGTCAGCGCCGGAGAGAGCATAGCCAGGACCTGAGCTTGGCCACCCGCGTGGCCCGCCGGGAAGGGAGACGCTGGCGCGGCGCTGCTGGAGCTACTGGACGGAGGGGGGGCCGCGCCGCCGCCGCCGCCGCCGCCGATGATATTGTCTATGGAAAAGGAGGGCCTGCCGCCGGCGCCCTGGTCCGCCTTGAGGCTCTGCAGGAGCGACGCGGTGGGGCTCAGCGGCCCGGCGGGGTAGAAGGCTTTCCTGCAGCCCAGCTCGCCGCCCAGGAAGGACGAGAGGCCGCCGGAGAAGACCGACGGCGCGGCCGCCGACACGCCAGGGCCCGGCGGCGCGGGGAGGGCGCAGGGCGGCGGCTGGAAGGGGAACGCGCCCGCCGCGCCGCCGCCGCCGCCGCCAGCAGCGGGGTGGTGGTGGTGGTGGTGCGGGTGGAAGCTCTGCAGCTGCAGCCCGTAGTTGTAGCCGTAGGGTCCGTACGCGAAGCCGGGCAGGAAGGCGGCCGGGTCGGCGGCGGCGGCGGCGGCGCGCAGGAGGAGCTCCGGGGGCTGCGGGTGGAGCTGCTGCTGCTGCCGCTTGAAGCGCTTCCTCCGGCGCAGGAAGCTGCCGTTGTCGAACATATCGGCGGACTCCGGGTCCAGAGTCCAGTAGTTGCCCTTGCCCGGGTTGCCCGGCTCGCGGGGGATCTTGACGAAGCAGTCGTTGAGCGACAGGTTGTGCCGGATGGAGTTCTGCCAGGCGGGGAACTTCTCCCGGTAGTAGGGGAAGCGGCCGCTGATGAACTCGCAGATCTCGCTCAGCGTCAGCCGCTTCTTGGGGCTCTGCAGGATGGCCATGGTGATGAGCGCGATGTACGAGTAGGGCGGCTTCACCAGGGGGTTCTTGCCGCCCCCCGAAGCGCCGCCGGACGACGACGACGACGACGACGAGGAAGAGGAGGCAGGCGCGGCCGCCGCCGCCGCCGCCGCCGCCTGCGGGGCCGCTGGCGTGGGGTGGCTGTCCCCCAGCGTGGCCTCCGGGCCTCCCTGAGCGGGGGACAGCCGCCCCCGGGCCGCCTGCTTGGAAAGGAGGCTCAGCGCGCCGTCGTCCTCGTCGTCGTCCTCGTCCTCCTCCTCGTCCTCCTCCTCCTCGCTGAACTTGGCCTGGCCATGCTCGTGCGCGGGCCCCACCACGTCGATGTCGGCGTCCTCCACGTCGGAGAGCGCCTCGTCGTCCTCCTCCTCCTCGGGCGAGGGGGCCGCCAGCAAGCCGCAGGGCCGGCTGCTCCCGCTGCTGCAGCCCAGGGTCATGGTGCCGCCGCCGCCGCCGCTCCTCTCGGTGGCTGCTACTGCCTGCGCCCGGGCGGCTCGGCTCGGCCACCCCCTAGCGGCGGAGCGAGGGAGGAGTCCCGGGAGGCGCCGCCGCCGCCGCCGCCGCCGCCGCCTCTCGGGCTCGGCGGAGAGCAACAGGCGGGCGCCCGGGGGCAGCGCCCTCCCCTCGGGCGGAGAGGACGCGGCGCGGGGTGGGGACGCTTCGCGGGCGGGCGGCGGGCGGCAGGCGGGCGCGGGCGGCGGGGAGGCCGCCTCCCTTGCTTCCCGCACGGCTCTCGCCGCCGCAGCGTCTCGCAGGCACTAAGCCGCCGCCGAGCGCGCCAGGAGCCTTTATACCGCGGCCCGCGCGTCACGTGCCGGCGCGCGCAAGGAGACCCCGGGCGCTGCCTCCGCGCCCGCCCGCCCG